GGCTTTAAGGTCCCTCCTGTCCCAACCCATTCCATGACTCTGGGATCTCGTATCTGTTTCCCCTGTGCCTGTGGATGTGCCAGCGGGCTGCGTGCGCTCGTGGCAGGACTGGAGTGAGCCGATGTGGAGGGCACAGTTTGGAGCCATCAGAGCCATAATCCTGACCCGTGGATCTAAAGGGATTTTCCTGTCTGGAGCTTGAGCCGGGCCCTTGGCCCCGGGAGCAGGAGCCCTTGCCCAGGGTGTGAGGAGCAGGGCTGTGCTGTGGGAGCACACGGGGCTGTGCTGTGGGAGCACACGGCTGATGGGTCTGGTTAACCCCGTCCTTGTCTCTGTGTCTGCCCAGCCTGGCTCTGGCCTTTCCATTTTGGGCCTTGGGCTATAAATGGCACCTTTCCCGCTGCCCTGTCCTGCTAAATCCAGCTGTGGCTGCCGGGCGGGGAGCGGGGCCCTGGGGACGCGGCCGCGCTCCCAAAATAGCCCTTTGGGGCTGCGCTGCTCCTGTTCCCGGCCCCATCGGCTGTTCCCTGGCCAGGACCCGGCTCCCAAATCCAGCAGGCGTGGGAGAGGCCCTGGGTGGTCCCCTGGATGGTGCACTGGATGTGATAATCCCTCAGCGGCTCTGGAAGGGGCTGGAGTAGCCGCCCTTGCTCCATCACAGGCTGCCTGTGTTCATGGCTGTGCCAGAATCCTCGGGATCTCTGATCCACAGCTCGATCCATGAGCAGCATCACCGCTGGGAGGGCATGTCCAGTGTGGAAGTGCCTCCCCAGCCTGGCAGCTCCTGGAGGTGGCTCAGCTGTCACCTCAGGCTGTCCAAGGAGCCCCTGCCCCTGGAGCCCTTTCCATGCTGTCCGGGCCAACTCCGTTGGAAAACAGCAGGATTTAGTGTTTGGGTCGGTGTGGGCTGGGGGGCAGGTGAGGGTGGGAGTGCTCCCAGTGCTCCCAGTGCTCCCAGTGCTCCCTGCACAGCGTGGCACCACAAAGCCACGGGGCAGCAGGAGCTGCAGGGAAGCCAAAGGCAAAGGCGAGGGCAGGATGAAGTTGTTTGGGAAAGGCCGAGTGCCAGGCTGGAGATAAGGAGCAGGGAATTGCTGCCGGACCCCGGGGTGTGGGATCCCTGTGGGGTGTGTGATCCCTGTCAGGTGATCCCTGTGGGGTGTGTGATCCCTGTCCATGTGTGTGATCCCTGTGGGGTGTGTGATCCCTGTCCATGTGTGTGATCCCTGTTGGGTGTGTGATCCCTGTTGGTGTCACGAGGGAGGAGGCCTGACCTGGAACGTGACCGGAGGTGCTGCCCTGCAGCCCTTGGATAACGCGCCAGGAACTGTTTGCTCCCGGATCCCTTGGAATTGCCGCTCTTCCCTGCTGGGGTGGGCAGTGCCACCGTGCCTGTGGGACGGGCTGGGGTCTCTCCTGTGCTGCCTGTGTCCGTGGAGGGCTGACGTGGTGCTGGAACGTCCCAGTGTTGCTTCCAGCCTGGCATTCCCGGAGGTGGCTGTGCCAGCAGGGGTTCCTGCTGCCTGCTCTCTAATCCCAATGTTGCTTCCAGCCTGGCATTCCGGGGGGCTGGCAGTCCTCTAATCCCTCTCTTGTCTCTGCAGGGAGTGGGGATGGACAGGGACAGATCCTCCAGCGCTTCCCGGAGAAGGACTGGGAGGACAACCCCTTCCCACAGGGCATCGAGCTGGTGAGTCACTGTCCCTGGGGACCCTGGGGGGACACCGGGGTGGGTGACACGGGGACACGTCCCACAGGGTCTGATGGGGGCAGGGGTCCCCACCTGCCCCCAGTGCAGCTCCAGAACACTCTGGAAACGGTGGGATCCAGTGCTGGCTCCTCTCCCCACCTCTGTGCTCTCCCTCCTCCTCTGGTCTCAGCTGCTGGGGGTGCTGGAATGTTTCCCGGAGGAGCCAGGGATGCAGCCTCACCAGCGTGGTCAGGTCCTTCCCGGTGCCTTGCCCCCTCCAAGCAGGGGCAATCCCAAGGAGCTGCTGGGTCCTGGATCCCTGATCCCTCCCGGGGCTCCAGACATGGTCACCAGCTGTCACCAGAGTCCTTTGGGATCAGCTCAGTGCCGGGTCGTTCCCAGAACGTGGCACACCCAGCTGGATGTGGTGCTTCATGGGATCCTCCAAACCAGGAGAGTGGGATTGTTCCCCTTGGTTGCTAAATTGGAATGGAAGCTCTTCCCAAGTCCTGTGCTGTGCCCTGGTGCTCTGAGGACCCTGAGGGAGAGGAGCTGGAGCTCCACTGCCAGTGACAGGACAGACCCCAGACTGAGCCCCCCCGAGGCTGCTCCGCTCCCCTCTGCACTTTGTGGGATCATGGAATCATTTAGGCTGGAAAATCCTCTGGGCCCATTGAGTCCAGCAGTCCCCCTGCAGTGCCAAGGCCACCACTGACCCCTGTCCCCAAGTGCCACATCCCCAGGGCTTTGAAATCTCTCCGGGGTGGGGACTCCCTCCCTGCCCTGGGCAGCTGTGCCAGGGCTGGACAGCTTCTCATTGGCACTGGGATCAGTGGGAGCAACTGACTCTTCTTCCCATTGGCACTGGGATCAGTGGGAGCAACTGACTCCTCTTCCCACTCACTGGGATCTACAGTGCCCAGCTCCTCTTCCCGTTGCATGTTCCCCAAAACTCCAGCGCGATTCCGGAGTTTTCTGGGCTGTTTTGTGCGAGGCAAAAACACACATTATTTTTCTGGTCCGAGTTTCCTGGTGTCTGCAGGGACTTGGGAACGGTCCCAAACAGGAGGAAAGCTGCTTTTTTCCCCAGGGGTCAAACCGTCCAGCCAAAAAATCCCTGGAATTTAAACAATTGGAGCCCTGTCCTGTTGGGAGCCAGGGGTGGCTCCAGGGCTTCCCACAAGCTCCCCGAGGTGTCCCAGGGGAACAGCACGCGGGGCTGAGCAGCTCCCGAAAACCCGAGGGAGCCCATCCTGGGGGATTGGGCGGGACGTGACGTTGCGGTCGCAGCTGGTTCCTTTTAACAGCTTTTTTGGGGAGAAAAGGCTTTCTGGGGTGTCAGGGAGCTGCAATTTGTAGCTTCTGGCCTTGCGCTGTGTCCGACAGCAATTCCAAACATGAACATCTCCTGTTGACGGAGCCGGTTCCTCTGGGGACACACACAGGATGTGGCCGTGTCCCTGCTGCAGCTCCTCCCTCCCTGCCCAGAGCTCTCTCCTCCGGAGCCCCTGGAGCTGCCTGGAGTGGGCATTCCCAGGGGAGCAGCGGGAGAATCGAGGGATCCTGGTGGCAGCAGCTCCATGGCCCCAAGCGAGGTGTGCGATGGGAGCGGAGATTCCTGTAAATTTGGGGCCTCCGTGTGCTCCAGGGAGGGTCAGGGCCATTCCCACTCTCCCTTCCGCATCCTTCCCATGGTACTGGGCCTCCTGTCCTTCCATGCTGTGATCCCACAGGTCTGCCTGACATGGCACAGGATTTTCCGTGTCCTGGGGTGGCTCTGGGGTGGTTTTGGCACCCACTGGGTGCGCCCAGGCCTCCAGATCTGTTCCACCTCTGGCAGCACAGCCAAGCCAGCATTCCAGACATCCAGCTTCCAGTGCCTAAGGGAACTCTAAGAGAGCTGGAGAGGGACTTTGGACAAGGGCCTGGAGGGACTGTGGCTGCCCCATCCCTGGAAGCGTTCCAGGCTGGGTAGGATGGGGCTTGGAGCAACCTGGGCTAGTGGAAGGTGGCCACGTGGAAGGGGATGAGCTTTGAGGTGTGGATGTGACTCAATCTGTTGGACTTGGTGAAATTTCCTTTTAATTGTGTGTCATGTTTTTCACTGAAGCTGGAAAATACTTCAGGTTTTGGAAAATTATTGAGGGAAAGAGGAAACAGGGAAGTAGTGGAGTCCCCATCCCTGGAGGAATTTAAAAGCCATATGGATGTGGCACTTGGCTGGGAGGGTGGGCAGGCCCTGGCACAGGTTGCCCAGAGAAGCTGTGGCT